ACATGTGATCATTGACCAATTAATCAAATAAATTGAATACGAAAAATTATTCACTTACTACTGAAATAATCAAAAAACAATCGCATTATGATCAATTAGTCAAAGTCAAACCTTTGCTAACAGAAGAAATAGTATTAGGTATAGTCCGTCAGTAACTTTCATTTTATTTTTTTAACACTAATAATTTTTTTACTGTATATCGGGAATGCTACGTATAATAAATTTACATAAATTCGCTTTTATATTAAAATGACATTTTATAAAGACCAAATTTCATACCACACGTAAAAAAATTTTTTCCGTTAATATATAACAATGAAAAATCGAAATAACATACTTACACATAAAAATAAACAAAATTACTTTGAAAAGTGGCATATCTTTAGAGTGTGGAATCACGGGTGTAAGGTTTGTGATAAATGCAATCATCATTTACATCTATATTGCAAAATATGCAAAAAGGTGGCAGATGGAATATATAAGCGATATGAATGTAATGGTCTACACACCTCCCTGCTGCTAGAGTAAAGTCAAAGGACAACCTTACCGGGAAATCAGATAAATAGTTTTTAGTATAGAATCTTTGGTGCAGTCCCGAACTTTGTATTTATTTTTACATGTATTAATAAAAAATTTTTTCTTGGCAAACTTTCATGAATAAAATTCACAGAAATCATGTAATCTGTTTTATTGATTGTCCATCATTCATGCAGATAAAATTATATTACATACATAATTTAAGTTATAAGCATAGATCTGGAATCATATTAGGCTTTACAATTATACTTAAAATGCAAGCATGATTATGTCTTTTATTATTCTGTCAGAGTGTATAGTTTGTGTATAATAAAGTAAAAAGTAACTATACAATGCTTTCCATCATCTAAAAACAACTAAATATTCAAGCAACTACTTAATAACGAGCTTTTATCCTCATTGGTGATATTCAGGTATTGTTATCATCCAAATAATAGTTGGCCTCTTTCGTTAACAATGTTTGGTATCTTTTATGAAGATTTTGAATAAAAGGCTACAAATAGAGGTCAACTGTTAGAAGAATATACTGATACTTCATAGATATAATAGAAAGATAATTACCCGCAAGGACAACATTTTGGCGGCAACTTTTGTCATTTTCAGAAATGTCGTTATCTCTTCTGCTATCTCGAAGTCCATAATTGAAAAAACTACTGGTTGCATATTTGTTAACCAGATTGCTAAATAAATTTCAACACTTGCTCCTATGACATTAACAAAATAAAATCCGCATTAAATAAATGAAATTGTAATTAGCAAAATGCTATGATTACTATAATTAATAAAACTAAACTAACTCCTATATTAATAAAATTTTTCTGTGAACTTTATTCACACAAATTTTTTGGCATTTTTACAAAACATTGAATAATTCACATCTTATATAAAAATATCTAACATGACATCAGATCTTAAATTATTAGAGCAACATATTATAGACCTTGAAGCTGAGAATGCTGAACTTAAGGCTGAGAATGCTAAGATTCCTGAACTTAGAAAAAAGTTTGCCGAAGTTGAAGATAAGAATACCAATCTTGAGACTGAGAACTTCGAGGTTAAAGCTGAAATAATGAAACTAAGGGCCAAACTCAAGAGTGGAATTGAGGAGTTGGAGAAGAGTAGAACGGATACTGTTGCCAAGAGTGCTAGGTGTAATATTGAGAGTGATAAGCTTAAGGCTAGAGTTGCCAAGTTAGAACAAGATTCTAGACAGCCACAGGATTATTCACCTTTTGAGGAAGCTTTTAGTGTACCAGAATCTGTAGTAGTCCAGCTCAAGAAGCATATGCCTTTCAGAGAGAATGTGAAACCAGAAGCGTTACCAGAAGTAGCTGTAACTGCCAGCCCTTCACTTTGCGAAGAGGATAGAAAGACCGATGAATTCCTAGATTTGGTGCAAAAGAGAAGTGTTAGTGATAGGATAAGACATAGAAAGCGAAAGGAAAAGCTTCAACATGAGACAACGGAGAATCCAAAGAATCAAGAGGCACCTATGATTTCCTAGAATATTTCTTCTATAAAAAATGTTCCAATTCTTGACGATCAGCAAAAAATCACTTATCTGGAAGAGGGTTGTTTCAGAAGAACTGAATCTGAACAAAATGATGAACTTATTCCTTTTCTCGAGAAAAATCTTATTGTAGAACATGAATTAATATAACAGCTTTCAACAACTATTAACAATGATGAAGTATC